CATTGATTTTTTTCTAGATTTTGGTCGATAATCTAGAAAAAAGATGTAGCACTAGGTAATAGTTTAATTGTATGTCTATTTTATTCCTTAAATCAAGAAAGTAAGTTAAGTGTTCAAGTACTTTGGGCCTCTTATTAATATCATTTTCTTGTTTTGTTGTTACTTTTTAAAGGACTAAATGGTCCAATTGAAAAAAATATAAAGAAAAACTTTTATTAGGCTATATGAATTTTTTTTATTGAAGCCCTTCAGATCTTGAGGTCCAAGACAATGGCCTAGTTTGCCTTGGCCATGGCCGGGCCTGCAAGCTTAAAAAATAACTTTTAACACTATTCTGCTTAAATCTCAATCATATTCGTAATTGAGAAGTGAAGTCTTCTTTTAAAGATTTATATATTCTACTTCAAAAACTTTTCCCAGAAAAAGAAAATGTTTCTTTGAAATTCATTTATGGATTAATTAATTTTATTTCACCATTTTAATATCATTCCATTCCTTTCTTTTAGATTTGTAATCTTCTCAACTTTGAATACTTTGCTTTTATAATAGTAAAAGTACATATGAATTGCCCGTAATATTCATTTACGAATTAATTAATTCTTTGCCAACATTTTAATATTTTTCCATGGGATATGATGAGTTGTTCTGCGTGTACAGCAGAACCCCACCGGCACCTACAACCTACATAGCGTGGGATCCACCCCAATAAAAAAATAAAAAAAGTTACCCATCCCTCCATGTGAATTGTCGGTGAACCCCCACCCTATACATGCAAAATAACTTGAGAGATGATACATTGCCAAGTCCTAATGCCAGGGGGAAGTTGGCCTCCTATGATGGGGGTATGGCCCTGGTGAAGGAGAATAACTCATTCCATTCCTTCTTCTTCGATTTTTAATCTTCTTTTGGTGATCCACTTAGGAATTTTTAAAAAAAAATTCAAATGTTATTTTACATTGTAAAATAATTCTATTGACCATTATGACCCCGTGTTTGGTATAGATTAAAATATAATTTTTTTTAATCTTAAATCAAAGTTAGCATTTAATTTTAACCTCAAATTTCATGAGAGTTATCAATTTTCAATTACGCATTTAATTAATTTTTATCAAAATCTATCAAATATTGACTAAACTTTAAAAGTTTTTCAAATAGTCATATAATTATTAGTTGACCAAAATGGGCTCGGTAAACCAAAATGTTGATATAGCATATTATAATTAATAATTATTAGTTGACATCAAATCAATAAAAAGCGTGCTTAAATGAAAATAAAGATAACAATAACAATAATAATAATAATAATAAAAGGACAGACAAACCTCTCTCCCTTGAGTATATATACATGTTATGTCCGGGTCTATATGTAGACCCACAGCACAAAGAACGGACCTGAAAATTCTCATAATGGGCTGCA